CCTGGCCAATTAGGCATCGGAAAATCACGTGATTTGACGTACCTGAACAGGATAGGCTCAAATCAGATCATCCAATACGCAATCGAGCCTTTATTATCCGGGAGAAAGGCTCTCTCCCGCTGAGTCACTGTTGAATCCTACCTAGTCATTGCGAGAGTCATGGAAAGTTAAAGCGAAGTCATTGTTGAATCCTTATCAGTGTCGAATTTTCGAGCAGCGAGAACCAAGATTTTGCAAGTGCTTTTGAAACATTAAGACTTGCAAAGCGCGATTATATTCAATAGACAAATTCTTGTATCAGATATCGTGACGGATCATTGGACAATTCATTTAAAGATAATCGATTCCGTTCAACACGTTCTGAGCGAGAGTGCCGGGATTCATCGGAGCGCCTCCACTCTAAATTAGAGGTGGAGCCTGTTTCTCATTGAGCCTCCGCTCATTCGTCGAACAGTGGATCGTGCGATCTCGCTCGCTCTCACAGACAGCCCGATAGAGCGCTGTCTCTCTCAGTTTCGCGTCAAACCGTGGAAAGTGCGGTCTCGCTCGCTCTCACAGACAGCCCGATAGAGCGCTGTCTCTCTCAGTCTCGCGTCGAACCGTGAATAGTGCTGTCTCGCTCGCAATCACGCGGACGACTGAAAGAGCGCTGTCTCGCTCGCTCTCACAGACAGCCCGATGGAACGCTGTGTCTCTCAAGTTCGTGCGTGCACCCGCGAATAGTGCGGTCTCGCTCGATCTCGCGGACGGCCGCAATAAAGCCGTCTTGCTCGCTCTCACAGACAGCCCAATGGAGCGCTGTGTCTCTCAAGTTCGTGCGTGCACCCGTGAATAGTGCGGTCTCGCTCGATCTCGCGGACGGCCGCAATAAAGCCGTCTCGCTCGCTCTCACAGACAGCCCGATGGAGCACTGTCTCTCTCAAGTTCGTGCGTGCACCCGTGAATAGTGCGGTCTCGCTCGCGCTCGCGGCAATAGAGCGCCGTCTCGCTCGCTCTCACGCGAACAGCTGATAACGCGCTGTATCATTTATATCAAGTGAACAATTGTATAGTACGATTTCGCCAAACCGAGTACGAATCTCGACGTGCTCAACTATTCGAAATAGAGTCGCATACGCATCGAAAGCTCATAACCTTGTACATATCGTGTATTTTGCGCAATAAACTTATCACCACTCGTATGTGGATGTCACTGTGGTATAATCAAAGGAACAATTTTACGTTATTTCATCCCGTCACTCATCCAGTGCGAAATCACGTGATTTGCAAACTCACGATACCTTCTCGGGTGTGTCCCGGCAAAATAAAATCGCAATTCAAAGTTGCGATCCCGAACACTAATGATCTTAAGAGTCCTATCAACCCTAATATCAATAGAAGAATTCTAATGATTTTACTTAATAGCCTTAACAACCCTACTTCCTGATTAACTAAAATTATTCGAGATTTGAGGAACCTATCTCTAATCATCACCTCACCTAATCATGTATATATATTTTAGTCACGTACCCTAACCGCGTGCCTTAACCACGTGCCTTAACCGCGTGCCTTAACCGTAGGTTCTTTAGGCCAGTTGAACCCCCTTTCGTTGATTCTGGCCACTTTCTTTCTCGATCTCTAATCAGAGATCGAAGAAGGAGATAATTACTCCTTGTTTTGCCGGATAATTAACTTATCACGCCCATATCACGGTGAGCGCCGTCCAGATTCGATTAGCCGGGCTGGAAAAGTGCTAGCTTTTGAAGCTCAGCATGCTCTGCTCCGATCACAGCATCGAGACACGATTGGTGGGTCAAACTACATGAAGAAAGACTTCATCGCCGTGGTTGAGGAGGCTTACCACGTGAACAAGGGCATCTTTCTGGATTACGTCGATCGGATCAGCAGCCCGGTTATCTTGACCGTCTCGGAGCCCGGCGAGTCTCCTCCTCACCGCACTACTTTGCCTCGAATCCAGCTGCCTCTTCTCTGGCAAGTATGAAGAATGGTCGTCGTTTCGGAACCTCTTTCAGTCCATCATCGGACTAGACGCCTCTCTTCCGTCCGTGGAAAAGCACCATTACCTGAAGGCGTGTCTGAAAGGGGAAGCAGATGTGTTAATTCGGAGCCTTCCGACTACGGCCGAAAACTTCACTCGAGCTTGGATGATGCTGAAAGATCACTTCGAAAACAAGAGGCTCCTCGTGCGCACTTATTTGTCACAATTCACGGCTCTTCAGCGCAAAGGGCGAATCCGCTACAGATTTACGCAAGCTGTATCTCAACGTTAGGAGCACCGTCGGTGCTCTCGAAAGTATGGACGGAGCTGACGGCCTCCGGAGGCTCCCCTCGCAGTGCTGCTTGCGACCGCGAGAGTCCGAGTCGCCGACCGGTTCGGCAAATTCCATGCAGCCCGGGCCCTCATAGATCCAGGTTCGGAATCATCTCTCATCACTAAATCTCTCGTTCAGCGCTTACGACTGCCTCGGAGCTCGGCATCGGTCGCTATCTTCGGCGTCGGCGATATTCAGACGGGGCGCTCGCGTGGCCTCGTTTCGGAGACGATCACGCAATGGAAAGGGGAAGCCTCCCTTGTATCGGCTCTCGTCTTCTCCAATCTCACCATCTACGAAGGAAACTTCCGAGCTAATCATCAGGCGTGGCGCCACCTACACGACCTTGACCTCGCCGATCCCGATTACCTGGCGGCGAATCCAGTTGAGCTCCTGCTAGGGGCCGACGCTCATGATGCCATCATCTTGGACGGCCTGCAGAAGGGAGGACCCCAAGAACCGGTGGCGCAGAAGACGACGCTGGGCTGGATCATTTCTGGATCGGTCAGTCCCGCGACTCCCTACGGACGATCCACTTCTCACCTGTGCCAGGTTGAAGAAGATCTGGACTCGCTCGTCCGTCAGTTTTGGCAACAAGAGGAGCTGCCGGTGACAGCCTCACTGCTGACCCCCGACGACCAACGTTGCGAGACTTCTTCCGCACAACTCATACTCGCACCTCCGAGGGCCAATACGTCGTCCGACTGCCGATACGAGAATCCCTGCCTGACTTGGGGATTGCCCGATTAGACACAGTACGATTAGACACAGCCAATTATATCGACCGATGCCTAGGGTAACCAGCACGATCAAGCACGATTAGCCAATCAAAGCCAGTTGTGTTCAATCATACTGTGTCTAATCAGAGGTGTATCGCCTGACTTAGCCTCCACGCGCCTTGCCGCTCTCCGTGTCCTCCGAGGGATGGAGAGGAAGTTCAGCCGAGACGGCGGCTTCCAACAACGCTACCAGGAGTTCATGCGTCAATACGAGGAGCTCGCGCACATGACTCCGGTGAGTCAGGACTTGTGAACAGCCGATCGTGTTGCTACTTCCCGCACCACGGAGTAGTCCGGGAAACCAGCGCGACTACCAAGCTCCGCGTCATCTTCAACGGCTCAACGATCTCGTCATTCGGTCACTCTCTAAATCAGTTCCTGATGGTGGGACCCAACCTACTGCCTCCGCTTGCCGACGTCCTTCTGCGATAGCGATTGCATCGCTACGTCTTGACTACAGATGTCGAAAAGATGTACCGCCAAATACTAGTACACAACGAAGACCGAGATCTGCAACGGATCATATAGCGTTACCAAGGAACTGACGAGCTCACGAACTATTAGCTGAACACAGTTACTTACGGTCTGGCTTGTGTGCCCTTCCTTGCCATGTGCACGCTCCATCAACTGGCCGACGATGAGGAGGCCCGGCGGGGCCACTGGGCCCCGCGTCCACTGGGCTCCAGCGTCTTGCGTCAAGACGTCTACATGGATGACGTCCTAACTGGTGCGCCCTCGGTTGAAGCCATCCAGGAGCTCCAACGGCAATTGACAAGAATTTGCAAGGCGGGCGGATTCCCGCTACGCAAGTGGGTCCGCTAACGACGACTCGCTACTGACAGGCATTCCTTGGAGCATCGGACGCAGCGCGAGCCTCGGGCTTGGCAACCTCACAAAACACACACGACTTTGGGCTTGCAGTGGCACCCGCGCACGGATGACTTCTCATTTTACACCCGCGACATCACTGTGACGGCCATCACCAAAAGGTCAGTGTTGTCGCTGACCTCCCGGCTGTTCGACCCTCTTGGATGGTTGGCTCCTGCGATCGTGAGCGCCAAGATCGCATTCCAAGGGACCTGGCTCCTGAGACTGGCTTGGGACACCTTCCTGGATAAAGAGTCTACCCGCTTCAGGAGACGATTCCGGATGAGCTGCCGCGTCTGGAGGACATCAGGGTCCCACGCTTTGTTCACACGTCGCCTTCCCGCGCTGACCCCGAGCTTCATGATTTTGCCGACGCCTCTGAACAAGCCTTTGCCGCAGTCGTGTACCTGCGGCAAGCTACCGATGCCTTTTGGGTCATTTCGCTCCTGGCCGCTAAAACGAAGGTCGCGCCGCTCAAACAGGTCTCTCTACCCCAGCTGGAGCTTTGTGCCGTACTATTGATCCGACTAGCCACACATTTTCGACGCATTCTGGGGCTGCCCGGTGCTTCGCTGCATTTCTGGTTGGACTCCACCGTGGTCCTGAATTGGATCCGGGGTCATCCAACTAGATGGAAGACGTACGTCGCTAATCGAGTATCCGAGATCCAGACGACGGCTCCCGACGGCTTATGGCATCACATTCCCGGGCCTCAGAATCCTGCGGACTGCGCGTCTAGAGGCCTATCACCAGCTACTCTCGTGGGACACGACCTGTGGCGAGGCCCTCCCGCGGCTCGTCACTACCTCCTCAGCATGGCTCCTGATGCGCTGCCCGCTTTGGACGATTTGCCCAAAATCCAAACGACCTCTCAGCGCTGAAGTCACCTCCTGAAGAGCTCGACGAACTCGTGCGGTTGTCTTCCCTCAACCAGCTGCTGCGCGTCACATCTTGGTGCCTCCGATGGTCGAGGCGGCGAGGAGCTCCGCTGGCAGCTAAGTCCTCTTCAGGGCCCTGGGGTTCTATCCTGACGGCGGATGAGATGGAGGAGGCGCGGCTCTTGTGGATCCAGCGAGTGCAATCCTGTCACTACAACAAGGAGCTTCAGTCTTTGCGTCAAGGCCACGCGCTTGATCGAGGTAGCAAATTTGCCCAATTACACCCTTTTTTAGATTCCCTGGAAGTCCTGCGGGTAGGAGATCGCCTCGAGAACAGCCTTCTATCGGATGACGAGCGAAATCCTGTGGTGCTGCCGTCTGACTCCCATTTTTCCCGATTGGTCGTCCAGGCTTGTCATCTTCGAACTCTTCATAGCGGAACGCAGCTCACGCTCGCGATGGTGCGTCAGCGTTACTGGATGCCCCGAGCGCTTGTCAAGCGGATCATTCCGACAGTGTGTCACTTGCACACGCTGGCGATCGGCTGCCCCGCAGCAGCTAATGGACGATTTACCTCGGGTGACTCCGGGAAAGCCCTTCCTGGACGTTGGGATCGACTATGTTGGACCCGTACAGCTGCGGACTGCTCGAGGGCGAGGTCACCGATCCTACCGGGCTTTTCATCCGCGATATTCGTTTGCCTACGCACCCGGGCCGTCCACTTGGAACCGATGTCCGACTACACCACCGACGCGTTCCTTGCAGCCTTGCGTCGGTTCACCTCCCGTCGAGGACTTTGTTGGACGATATGGAGCGACTGCGGAACGAACTTCGTGGGGAGCGGACACCCAGCTACGACGACTCTTCGCTGCCAGCAACCCGGAGCTACAGCGGATCCAGGGCGAGTTAGCGTGTGATGGCATCCACTGGCGATTCAACCCGTCGTCTGCCCTACACTTCGGTGGAATTTGGGAAGCTGCCGTAAAATCCATGAAGCACCACTTACGTCGGGTCATCGGAGACGCCATTCTTACCTTAGAGGAGATGGCGACCCTTCTCCCCAGGTTGAAGCGTGCCTGAATTCCCGGCTCCTCCAGGCCATGACGGACGACGCTGAGGACCTCACCGCCCTGACCCCGGGGGCATTTTTTTGATCGGTTCCGTCCCCTCGCCGTACCTGAACCGTCGCTGGCGGACCAGCCTGTCAGCCAACTTGATCGCTGGAGTTGCTGCAGCAGGATGCGGGAACCATTTTAGAAAGCGTTGGGCAGAGAGTACCTCCATACTCTCGGCATATCGGACAAATGGCAAAGAGAAACGAGTTGGTATATCGGTCGTCTCTGCCCCTGGTTTGCCAGGACAACACGCCATCTACCCGTGGCCCCCTGCTCGCATAGTCCTCACTCTCCGGCGAGACGGACGCGTGCGCGTTGTCACCGTCCGCACTGCTGGCCTCATTATTGAATGCGACGCGATCGCCAAGCTCGTCCTCCTA